TTTTGAAAGACCACATAAACGCGAAGATGCCCGCATACTGATTTAACAATTCAAACTTTTGCTCCCAAGACTCTGTAATCAGTGGCGTATCCGTAAGGCTAAAGTTCATAGTAACAATATAGTAACGTTATCACTTCAAGGAACCGGTCTACTTTTAGAAATAGTTCTTATCGACTGCGTGGTGATAAACGGTCAGTTGGTGTTTACAAACATCTCTGATGGTAACTTGCACCTCGTCAACCTCCGCCGTTTCGCACTGACTCAGTATACCATTAAAATCAACCTTATCTAATCTAGACCATACTCAAGAGACTATCTGAACTGAAAGAGTGCTTATCAGAGAGCACTACTGACCGTTGTGCATGCAACCCGCCAAACATGGACGTAATGCAAGATCGGTGGTGCATTGAACTTGTTTCGCCACTTAAGTTCGCGACTATCTATCGTGGTATGATATGGAGTAATTAAAGCAATTATTTATTTGCCATATTTTTTCGAACTTTTTTGTTTATCTCGGTATCGCACGTGTGATACCGGTCGGTCCCAAAATGTTAATGCAAAGTAAACAAATACGTCATAACTCATGATAATTATCTAGTATAATTTGTAAATGTGTAGAAAAACGGTCGTTAAGTAATTACGAGAGTAATTATCACAACTTACACTGCAATAAAGCACATATACTTTTCTGATAAAGAAGTCTTCTTACTTTGAGCACTTATAAATAATTTTGAGTGGTACTTTTAAACCATGGGAGTGCGCCTCGTGCATCAATCCTTGGTCCGTTGCTATATCAGAACTGCCTCCTTGGTCTTTGCAGCTTTAGAATGAGTTTTGAAAATTTGCATATTCGAGAAATGCGCACCTGGGATATTATTTAACACACTCTTTCGATTTCTAACGATTAAAGGTGTCCTATTTCGTTAATAAGAAGCCATTTTGTCGGCGTTAACTAATTAAACGTTTTTTTTTAATCGGTGCTGCGCTGGGAAAGTATTCACCGTAGAATTCGCAATAAAAATTTAATTTCGAGATTACTAAACGAAGTATGACTTTTGAGCCTACTCGACCTATGAACCTCCACTTCAACCCTCTTCCGAAAATCCGTTCTTGAGGTATAAGGGAATATATCCGATCACGATAAGAGGTCGAGGAGGAGAGCTATGGTTGGTAGAAATTAATTCCTTTCGTTGAGACCTTTCATTAGAGTACCATGAAGGATAAAACTAGTTCCACTCCCCCCCCCTCCCCCTCCCCCGTACTTTGATAAGAGGACAGAAAGAAGGGCAGTAGTTGGTAGAAAACGGTTCCTTTCGTTGAGACCTTTAATTAGAATACAATGAGAGATAAAATTAATTTTTAACCCCCCCTCCCCTCAGGCCCCGTCGCTCACTGACTTTTTATTTCGATGACACCTTTCATTAGAATACCATGAAGGGTAGAACATGTCCCCCCCATTTTCTAAAGTTTAACTTAGCACAACTAAATGCAAAATCTGAGACCAATTGGTTGTCATATGTAAAAGCTATGCACGTTTTACTTTCAAAAACAGCATTTCAGGAAATAATTCGTGGGGGGGGGGGGGGCTTTTAGACAGCGAAATTTGATGGCCGTCTGGCACACCCTCAAGGTATAGGACTCTAGGACCATTCCCCTAGAATTAGTTCAAAACGGTAGAAGTGGGTCCGGACGGACAAAACGCAAACAATAGCACATTTTTTTTAATTCTTAAAAAATGCGCTAAAAAAGAATACAAGGTTTGTTAATCCTCGGGCACCAGTGGGTATAAAACCTCGAGTGTAACCATTGAGTAATTAAAATCCTTCACTCAACGGTATAACGTTTGTCTTGGCAAAGAATCTACATACACACAAAAGATATTTATTTGCATAAAATAGAATTATTAGTTCTTGACAAGGTTACACTTAACTAAATGTAAAAGTTCAGTACAGCTGATTACTTAGAAGCTAGATACTTAATTTAATCTCATTTACCGGCAGGAAGATAAATACATTAGCTACCGGAATTACTTCGCGTTAGTTTAAAGTTGATTGGACAGTAAGTTGTACAGTAACGGAAGATACGACAAAAGCTATTAGAGTTAGATGCACTTGGATCGTTGCTCGAATCATTCACACATTGCATTGCAGAACTTCTGATCGTGAACCACCAGTTCCAGCTCAGCCGACATATCAGTTTACTTAGGTAATCCAAACCCCCTTAATCAATGGGTTTCGGATTGCGAAATAAGTAAAACAAAGACAGGTGATTAAATTAAAACATATGGCATAACCTAAAAAGAGACGTGTTAACAAAGAGGAATTCTACGAAAGTAACTTTACCTAAAGAGGATACAGTCACCGTCCCATTCGCGTGAAGACGCTTAGATAATTAATTTAAACAATTTTAGCGTGATGACACTGGGATAGTGTTGCGAATATTCCCGAAATTCCGATAAACATCGAGGCGCTATCAATGATTAGTAATCGACGATAAAGATCCAAGGCGGACCTGACGTAATCTTTAATGGGAATATGACTTGTTTGGTCCCGAACATTCCGGACCGTCCTTGAACACTCGAGAAAGAATGTTGTTTGCTATAAACGCAAACCGAATTGGGTTTCGAGTCAGTCCCAACTTCGATGCGCTTGTGTTGTTATAAATTGTAAGTGATAAATAATAGTTACATTTACGTTACAATATAAAACAATGACTTACGTGGTATCCCATCTAAAATTTGCACGTTCTAATGTATCAGTTCCCGGATTAACAAAATATGATTCATTCGGATTAATTGCAAAGTAAATATTTGTGTAGTAGTAAGTAGTTAATGGACACTTTACTCTTCCGAGTAGCTTATATGTAAAACACCAAATTTGTCTTTACGACTCGCTTTACGTTGTATAATGAACCATATTCACCTCAAATGAGTAAATGAAGTAAAAACATACGCCGCGGCGCCTGAAATCTGAAACTAAGGACAGAAGAGCGTGCCACCCCTCTATATTGCTACTGCTACGTATCTATTAAAACAAGAACAATAAACCCTGTACCTACCCTACACAATAGAATTCAATTCTTTGTTTAATTAAAATGTTGAAACCTCCAATGATACCATCATACTCTTTTAACAAAGTGCACGTATTTAAACAATGATGCAAGCTACTTACGTCGACATATTTGCTAAAATAACAAATTTATTTATAGGAGTAATCTTAATCCGTTAAGATTACAATCTATGTAAAAAGAGGTTAATGAGCGCATAATATATTATTTGATAAACGATGGGTAGGTACGATGGTAACATAAAAAATTTTTGAATTTTGATAGATTGTAGACCAGTGTAATTTGTAAAATATCAAGATGACCTTCGCACCTTTTCACGGCCACCCTATTTTTACTTTGTTCGCGTTAAGGTCATACCTGCCCAAGCTCATAATGGTCCAATCAAAATGCTTAAGGAAAAAGTAATTGAAACTCCTTTTACGTTAGAAATAGATACAACTGCAACCCGATTTATGAAAGTAACAAAGCCACGTAGGTATCTCAGGGGATGCTTTTTATTTGCCCCATTTTCGGTGCTGCAAACTGCAATGCAACATCCATGACCGAATTTCGAAAAGTGGGTAGGACAAAAACGCGCATTTTCGCGGGTCGTCTAGGTAATATGTTATTCAATGAGGAGTCATGGAAATTTCCGTTTTTCCGCATTGCCAGTGTTTCCCTCAACCCCTAGCTTCTGTGGTATCGATTTACTACGCTAGCTTTTCAAGGGCACGACGAAAGTAGGTACTAGAGCACAATTTATTCTTACGTACTTATTCGACGTTTTCCACGCGTAATTGTAAAACTTTCCGCTTAATTTCAGCGGAAGTTTCATTACCAGCGTGATAAGATTAGGGTTTGAAGATTAACATATATATTAAAACGTTGCCAATCAATTATTGATTGCTTGCAGGGATGTGTACATAATTCAGGCTAGCGTCAAGTCAATTTAACTAGGTATCTACCCTATTTGCATAACGAGTAAATGACGGGCTAGACTAAAATATGAGAAAGCCCATCGTTCAAAGAAAACAGATTCGCAACGTTTTCAAAGCTAAATTTAAATTTACGAGGACATAAATAAATACAATCCGCTACAAAGCAAGCAAGGCGCGAAATTACAATAGACTCATTCAAATACAATTTCGCGCCGATACGAATAAATTTTAGGCAACTTACCACAAACGAGAATGCAGTCGATCGCTAGAAAACTAGGAACATCGCGTTTCAGCACAGAATCGCGGTAAATAATCGAGAATTCGTGAATTGCACGCAGTTGACCTTTTCAAAATGAAAGTAATGACAAAACGCGATATTGCAAAAGGATGAACGAGGAAGTAATAGCAATGCAAATGCGTGATTTTAATAGGTTAAGCAAAACAAGTTCAAAGAAGCGGACACTGACTGATCTGATCTACTAAAATCCAAGTGCAAGTCCAAAAAGCTATTTTTTTCTTGTATTGAAGTGCGTGGGGCGCATGTCATGTCGCTTCTGTGCCGACAAAAATGTTTGAGCGCTTGCCCTAACTTTTGAGGTGTATTGTGTGTTGCCTAATTTCCACAGGAAATTCTGCAATCTGCAATGAAAAGGAAATACAGCTTCCCGAATCCCAGTTGCCATCCTTTGGAATTTTTAAAACTAAATTTATTGAATTGTCCAGATGAGATGCTCCACAAATTTACCACTCTCCGCTGTCGATTGTTCGTACTTCCGACTTAATGACATTCAAAGACACATAATATAAATACCATTGAATAAAATTACTTATTCAATGATGCTACCCTACCGTACTCTTGTCCTTATTGCAACCCCCGACAGTATCGTAGTGTGAAAGGATGACTTCCGGAGTACTTTGTATTTTGTCTGCTCTCCTGCTACTTTAATCTACACAGAGGTAGGGTTGGAACATCTGGCGATGACCCAGCATGTAACTAGAGCATTTGTTTTATTTCAGGCCTCCCTTATTGCAACCCCTGATAGTATCGCAGTGTGAAATGATGACTTCCGGAGTGCTTTGTATTTTGTCTGCTCTCCTGCTACCTCTACGCAGAGGTAGAGTTTGAATACCGCGCGATGACCCAGCATGTAACTAGAGCATTTGTTTTATTTCAGGCCTTCCCTATTGCAACCCACGACAGTATCCAGTGTGAAATGGTGACTTCCGGAGTGCTTTGTATTTTGTCTGGTCTCCTGCTACTTTAATCTACACAGAGGTAGGGTTTGAATACCTGGTGATGACCCAGCATGTAGCTAGAGCATTTGCTTTATTTCAGGCCTCCCTTATTAGAACCCCCGATAGTATCCTAGGGTGAAATGGTGACTTCCGGAGTGCTTTGTATTTTGTCTGCTCTCCTGCTACTTTAATCTACACAGAGGTAGGGTTTGAATACCTGACGATGACCCAGCATGTAACTAGAGCATTTGTTTTATTTCAGGCCTTCCTTATTGCAACCTCCGATAGTATCGCAGTGAGAAATGATGACTTCCTGAGTGCTTTGTATTTTGTCTGCTCTCCTGCTACCTTAATCTACACAGAGGTAGGGTAAGTGGAAATTATAAAAGCACTAAACCTTCCCCATACTTCATACTTCAAAATGAAGTATGGGGAAGGTTTAGTGCTTTTATAATTTCCACTTAGTCAATTTCACCCCGTTTTGAGTCGTTATAAGATGGATAGCTACCAATTAACAGAGGTAGGGTTTGAATACCTGGCGATGACCCAGCATGTAACTAGAGCATTTCTTTTCTTTCAGGGCTTCCTTATTGCAACCCCCGATAGTATCGTAGTGTGAAATGATGACTTCCGGAGTGCTTTGTATGTTGTCTGCTCTCCTGCTACTTTAATCTACACAGAGGTAGGGTTTGAATACCTGGCGATGACCCAGCATGTAACTAGAGCATTTCTTTTCTTTCAGGGCTTCCTTATTGCAACCCCCGATAGTATCGTAGTGTGAAATGATGACTTCCGGAGTGCTTTGTATGTTGTCTGCTCTCCTGCTACTTTAATCTACACAGAGGTAGGGTTTGAATACCTGGCGATGACCCAGCATGTAACTAGAGCATTTCTTTTCTTTCAGGGCTTCCTTATTGCAACCCCCGATAGTATCGTAGTGTGAAATGATGACTTCCGGAGTGCTTTGTATGTTGTCTGCTCTCCTGCTACTTTAATCTACACAGAGGTAGGGTTTGAATACCTGGCGATGACCCAGCATGTAACTAGAGCATTTCTTTTCTTTCAGGGCTTCCTTATTGCAATCCCCGATAGTATCGTAGTGTGAAATGATGACTTCCGGAGTGCTTTGTATGTTGTCTGCTCTCCTACTACTTTAATCTACACAGAGGTAGGGTTTGAATACCTGGCGATGACCCAGCATTTAACTAGAGCATTTCTTTTCTTTCAGGGCTTCCTTATTGCCACCCCCGTGGAGTGCTTTGTATACTTTGTCTGCTCTCCTGCTACTTTAATCTACACAGAGGTAGGGTCTGAACACCTGGCAATGACCCAGCATGTAACTAGAGCATTTGTTTTATTTCAGGCCTTCCCTATTGCAACCCCCGATTAGATCACAGTGTGAAATGAAGACTTCCGGAGTGCTTTGTATTTTGTCTGCTCTCCTGCTACTTTAATTTACACATAGGTAGGGTCTGAATACTTGGCGATGACCCAGCATGTAACTAGAGCATTTCTTTTCTTTCAGAGCTTCCTTATTGCATCCCCCGATAGTATCGTAGTGAGAAATGATGACTTCGGAGTGCTTTGTGTTTTGTCTGCTCTCCTGCTACCTTAATCTACACAGAGGTAGAGTTTGAATACCTGGCGATGACCCAGCATGTAACTAGAGCATTTGTTTTATTTCAGGCCTTCCCTATTGCAACCCCCGATAGTATCGTAGTGTGAAATGATCACTTCGGGAGTGCTTTGTATTTTGTCTGCTCTCCTGCTACTTTAATTTACACAGAGGTAGGGTCTGAATACCTGGCGATGACCCAGCATGTAACTAGAGCATTTCTTTTCTTTCAGAGCTTCCTTATTGCAACCCCCGATAGTATCGTAGTGTGAAATGGTGACTCCAGAGTGCTTTGTATGTTGTCTGCTCTCCTGCTGCTTTAATCTACACAGAGCTAGGGTTTTATTACCTGGCGATGACCCGGCATGTAACTAGAGCATTATTGTTTTATTTCAGGTCATCCCTATTGCAACCCCCGATAGTATCGTAGTGTGAAATGATGACTTCCTGAGTGCTTTGTATGCTCTCCTGCTACTTTGATCTACACCGAGGTAGTGTTGGTATACCTGGCGATGTCCCAGCAGAATTTCTCTTCGGTTACATGTTAAATGCTGTAATTTTAGGTACAATCATGTCATAATGGTAGCAAAGCTGAAAAAATCCAACTCCAATTTATTAAAGAAAGTGGAATAGATAAAAACGAAGGGATCCACCATCATCAGGTGCCATGTCTTTTTAATTATGATAAAGATACAGACGTTATGAACATAGTAAAAAAATAAGAATTATGAGGAGACACACTTATGAGACCATCGATCTTTGGACAAAACTTCAATTTCAAATTGTGCACGACACTTTTGGCACGTGACAGTCTGTTCAGATTTATGCCGTTCACGAAAGTGGCCAACGGCGGAACGATACGCATCAGGTCCAATGAAACGTAGCTTGCACTGAAGGCATTTGTAAATAATACAGGAATTATTTACCACTTTCACAAAATGGTCCCACTCTTTATTTGGACGTTGACTGATTGTTGTTGACAACGAATTTAGGCTTTTGAAAGTGACCGTCTTACTATAAACTCTGCAATCTTGTACAGCGTTGAAATAGTGCAAAGCAATATCAACTTGAGGTACGATAATTTCATTATAACTAGTCGATTCGTTGCTGTTGGTACTAAAAATATCGTTACCTCACAATTATTACAATTCTTTCGATACATACTCCGGAATGGTGTGTAACCGTTTGGTTCTGGTATATTGACACTTTCCGATGTTAAATCCCACACTTGCGTCTGGCGACATTGTCACATCGTAAACCCCCACTTCCCTGATGTCCTTCAAAAATTCCGCGAAGATAGCGGAGAGCTCTCTCAAGCGATGCTCTTTTACCTAAAATTAACGGGTGCAAATTACAGATCATCGTTGCACACACGAGAGGTGGTTAACTTATATGAATCTGTGTATAAAACTTGACACCCAAGCCAAGAAATTTTAATTTCCTGTTGTGAAGACAGACGGACATAAATTAACAAAACATGATTTTTTAGTACATTGTTTGGACCCCAATAGGGAAGGAGGGAGGTTAGTAGAACTGTGTAGTATAGTCAATGGGAGGCGCGTAAATGAACGGCATTGAAGACCTGGCCCATTCCATCCTGGGATACCAGAAGAGTCACAGGGTTTTCCGAACAACCATAGCAACTGTGTATAGTATATTGGTAACATTTATAGAAAAATGCGATTTTAGGTTTTTTTAAAATTTTGAGAGAACTACGCGGCCTGCAGACCCCGCTTAATCTGAAACTGATTAAATTACCTACAACTTTTATTCTATGAGCTCTACTCGTAGCATCAATAGTTTAGCCGCAATTTCGGTCTAAAATCAAATGTTCACTTTTTTGGAAAAAATGACTTATTTAAGTGCCGTAATTCGGTTAACTAATTGGCCCACAGAGCTCTGGTTGGGCCTAAATTGTCACACATTTAATGCTCTTTCGTCTAAAAATGCATAGTGTAGGAGATATAGAGCAAAAACTGAAAAAAGTCCAGGTTTTTTGTGTGCTACGCTTTTCTCACATCCTTTAAGAGTTGCAAACTTGGGTATACACTAACCTATTGAGTCCAAACAACATACTATCATGTTTTGCGGATTTAGCGATTTTTTGTGTCGATTTTAACTGGCCTATAAAGACCTTCAAACTTTTGTTCACAACAAAAGAGCGTTTTGTTTTTCCAAAGCACTCTTGGTAAAAAATGAAAAATTCTAAACATATTTAAGAGAAATGTGATGCCTACTGAACTACCATTGCATTTTTTGGGATATTTTCAAAACTATTGAAGATATTTTAAATTTCATTTTAGAAATATGCCCCCAGAGAAGCGAGATCCCAGTGGCACCCAGAAAATGGACACCCTGTACATACTTACTTTGAATATTATATGCTTCGATCATAGATGTGGTATATGATCGAAGATTATATGTATAATGACAATTTTTTAAATAAATTCAGACAGAGGGCGCTTCATAGGTATATCGACTCAAAAAGTTGATTATTTAAACATTCCTTTAAACCTGTATACACACGTTACAGTTAACCACCCCTTGACCTCACCATACGTACATTTGGCTTTAACCGCCTAAGAACGACATTTAACTGATGAAAATAATGGAAAAAATAGAGATAGGAATACGGTTGAAACTCCTTTTCCTTGGAGAGTTTCGTAATGTGAACGATGTGGGGCGTGTCCGGGTACGGTGGCTTTACCCCCTTTAACGCAATGAAACGATGAACCTGATGCACGTTCGACCTTGTCAGCGAAATATCAGGCAAAGTTACCTGAACGTCGACGTTGGGCCAATTTAAAAATTGACAAAGGCGCAGCGGTTGCCACGCCTTTTCCGGATGTTTCACTATGATTAGACCTCCTAAACGTGAAATTAAAATTAACGCCTATTGCCGTAATACGTTACCGTTATGTCCATTGCACGCAATGTTATTTATGAAAGTAGGGGGACCGCCGATGACCAAAGAATAAGGTGCCAACACCTTCTCGCCGTCGGTCTGCGTCCCCTGATCACACACGGCCTTTTTCCCCTCGAACTTTGCCGAGTTCTTCACGATGAACTGGCTCTTAAAAATGAGATACTGTCGTAACCGTTCCAGCCACTCCTTACGCTGCAGTTCGAGACCACGACACTCGCTATTCCTCTGCCAGCCGGGCCACACGCTCATATAGTAGACTAGGGCTTCGCATAGTACGCTAACAAGTTTTGTGTTGAGCTCTTCGGTTTTAACGTTTAAATCGTTGGTGAGGATGGATTCCATGTGCCCCCTGTTTACTTCTAAGGGCGAGTTGTGGACAATGGCCTCGAAAAACGTTTTTAAATTTACTTCATTGTCGGAAGTCCTTCGGTCAATGTAGCGGATGTTCGACAACCTTTTTTTTAATGTTTCCGGGTTCATTGGTGATTAAATGTTAAACACCCTGTGCACATTAGGAACAACAAAATATAAACAATAAACAACCAACAGCTGATTTTTGAGGTTAACTGTCAGAAAATTAGAGCGACCTCTGTCGTGATGAAGTTCAAACTAAAATTTGACCAAGAACTACACAAAGAAAAGAAGATATTTGTATTTCTACAATATCACTCCCTTCTCCATGTCATTTCCACTTCCTTGCAATTGATAGCATGTGTTCTATATCCTCTTCTCTCTCCACAGATTATACATTTTCTTTCTTCTTCTGGTCTCCATTTGTCCCTTCCTCCCTCCTTATTTTCACATGAAAATCTCGCCATTGTTTTAATATTTTTCCTTCCCTCCCACAAATGTTTTGGTAACCATTCCCTTATTAGGTTCTTGTAACTACTCCCCACACCTGTCTCATTGCCATCACCCCTATCTTTTTATAGTTTATTTCTTTGCATTTGGTACCCTAAATATTAAACTTCTCTGATCTCTTCTATTCTTTCCTCTCTCCAACTTTCGTATCTGTTCAACCCCCTTCCCATCAGGTTCGACTTTTTACATTTAGCTCAATTCCTTCCCTTGTCCAATACCTCTCCATTCTTCCCACGATATTTACCTTCATCTGTTCTAATAATTACAGGCAGGCCCGTAGCCAGAATGAAGTAGCAGGAGTGGCCAGTATTTTTCTGGGGCGGGGGGGGGGGGAGGCTTAAGAAGTTTTTGATAGACTTCCCCTGTAATTTTTGTAAAGGAACCATTAACCGTGGGCAATACCACGTTCTGGGTGGAGCCTAGCCCCACCCGACCACCCCCTGGCTACGGGCCTGATTGCAGGTGGTCGCTATCCATAAATTGGAAGGCTTTTATAAAATTTCTAAAGGCGACTTTAAGAGAAATTTAAAGAAAGTGATTTAAAAAATACAGTCACTAAAATTTTTCGATCGAATAACAATAACTATTAACGAACGACAAAAAGCCAGTTTATGATTATTGGACTTTCTGTCCGTTCGTCCGTCTGTGTACATGATAACTCAAGAACGGTTTCGAATTTTCCAGTTCTGTTTTGAGTAGACAACGGTCAAGGGAGCAAGTGATTAAATTTTGTTCAATACGCGTCAACTGGAAATGACCTTGTCGCTCGTTGTTTGTATTGGTGCAGTTTATTAACGAGTTCCTAGCGAGTTCATGATTTTGGACTGTCTGTCCGTCCGTCCGTCAGTCTTCGTACGTGATATAGATAACTCAGGAATTGTTTTTTCAATTTTCCAGTTCTGATGTTTCGAGGAATAGGTACCTACTATAATTCCACTCGCATCCTCTTTCGCTATTCCAATTCCTGACGTTTAAAATTAAACAAAAAAGGATATCCTTGGCTATCCAACGTGGAAATAGCGCATGTATCCTGGGCTCTCTCCCAACTGAGAAACAGTTCGACTAAATTTATTTGTTTAATGTTACACAATTTTAAATAGTTCGTTTAAATAAAATTTTATATTATTTATTACTAACTAAATTTACAATAATTAGAATACCAGGCTCTTGAGCACCCGAAGTACTTAGTGGGTGCACTACATAGCTATGGGCAAATGGCTATGGTTAGGCTCAGGCATTGTTTAAACAATTCCAAGATTGGGCTACTAGTTCAAAAGTTACAGCCCTTTGAATTTTCTTTCGAAATTGCTTTCTAGTCTATAACTTTTGACTGAGAAGTCTGATCGAAAAAGTACAAATTGTTTTGAATTCTACGCACCAAAATTAATAAGAAAAAGTGTTTTCCCGAGAAATTTTGGTGCAACCGATTTTTGGTAAAAAAGGAAGGTTATACACTGCCTTTTTTTGAGCCCCGAAAAAAAAATTGTCTCAGATCGACCCGGAAAAAAATTTTCTTATAGAATGTGGCCTGTAGAATCCATAATTTCAAACAGTTCCAAGATTGGCTACTAGTTCAAAAGTTACAGCCCTTTGAATTTTCTTTCGAAATTGGTTTCTAGTCTATAACTTTTGATTGAGAAGTCTGATCGAAAAAGTACGAATTGTTTTGGATTCTACGCACCAAAATTAATATGAAAAAGTGTTTTCCCGAGAAATTGTGGTGCAGTCGATTTTTGGTAAAAAAGGAAGGTTATACACTGCCTTTTTTGAACCCCGAAAAAAAAAATTGTCTCAGATCGACCCGGAAAAAAATTTTTCTTATAGAATGTGGCCTGTAGAATTCATAATTTCAAACAGTTCCAAGATTGGGCTACTAGTTCAAAAGAAAAATGAGATAACCAGGGTGATGGATGTGTTAAACAGGCTTCGCACTTGGTGGTCTACTCAAACTCTCCAGTACGACTCGATAAGAGGCTCCATCTACCACGGACTGGGAAGTACTCAAGATCGCTGAGCACAGGTATAAGGACCATATTCGAAGGTCTAAACAAGGATCATGGAGAACTTTCTGTGGTAAAATGGAAGTTCAAACACTCCGTAAGATACTTACCTACCTAATTTTGAAAATCCCTTGGGCAAAAAGTGGGGACACTGAGGTTTCCCTGCGGCAGGGGCTCTCACATTTTTCCTGGAAACGCAGTTCCAAGGCTCTGGGGACTAAATAATTTCGGACCCACCTATCCGCCGCGTTGGTATAAGGCCGATCGACTGGAAAGTAGCTGTCCGGGTGGTTACCGACGGACCTCTGATATGACTTAGTGTGTCTTGCACACTTGTCGGCGATGTGGGTATGGTCGACGAAGTGGGCATTGTCGGCGTTGGTCCCGTCGACGATGTGGGGACTGTCGGCGGACGGCGTGGTGTCCGTCGGCGTAGTGTCCCTAGTTAGCGTCTACGTAGCTGAAAAACAGTAGCAGCCTTTCTTATATCCTTAAGAACATGTGTACCTAATCTCATTTTAGATAAATTCATGATTTTAGTCATTTGCAAAGCGATCTGACGTTCCTAAACAAAGTCATCGGTGCACACGGACAAAGAGTCGGACAGACAGACAGCGAAACAAAATTATAAACGATCTCGAAGATCGTTAATAAAACTATGCACATTTCATGTCTGCTTATGTTTGTGAATCTATGGAACAAGGGGGATTTTCGAAAATTCAACATCTGCATTTTACGTGTTCTACAATCACACAAGAAAATCCGCAGTTTGGGTATTAGGAAAACATAAATAAAAGGAATACATTTTATTGCATTTGAAAGTTTAGTGTCGCTAGCGACCTCTGTTGCGATATACATTTAACTAAAATTAAATTCCTTTAACTAATTAATCTACTATACGCCCACTAGATGTCAGCACTCACAATTCATATAATTCATAACCTCAAATTTTTAATAAATAAAAATATAACCAAACATATTTTTACTATTTCTAAACAAATAGCAATGAACGTTGAGAAATTACAAAAAAGCTTGTCACAAATTCGCTATATTCACGAACGCAGATCACATGGAAGCCTGAATTTATACTCACTGTTTGAGACCATTGTCACGGCACAGCCCTTGGAAGTAAATCGAAGCAAAATGGAATCCATTCTTAATTGTGATTTAAAAATCATTACAAATTACTTGGACAGAAGGCTTGTTAGCGTCTTATGCGAGGCCCTTGCTTACTATACAAGCATGTGGCCCGGTTGGTTACACCTCACCACCGACTTACCCCTCCAAGAGTCATTAGAGTTTGAACAATTTCGACAGCACCTTATTAATAAATGCAACCACATTTTGCAACACGCATCGGAACACTACGATAACAAAACCTTGCTCGATAAAGGAACGCAGACTGACAGCCTCATCGGCAAAAAAGAGTTGGCTCCTTACGATTTGGTAATTGGCGGCACTCCAACTTTTATAAACAACCTAGCTTTCACAAAGCGTGGCGGTGAGTATCCCTATTGCACGTACAACTAGTAACAACATCGGTTTTAGACGATATCATAGTGAAACAGCACACAGAAAGGCCCTGGAGAGATCTAACCGTGCCCCAATTTCTAAATTGGCCTCACGTTTCTGTATCATTAAAACTACCCGATATTTCACTGACAAGAGCCAACAGACACAAAGTACATCGTTACATTGCACTTGACGGCGACACCGTAGTCTTCCCGGAGATTCGTTTCATAGATTACATCACGAAGATCAAGCCCGGTGCCGACTTTAAACCGTACTCGTACCTATTCTTCTTCTACTACTTCCTCCAGCTCAACATCGTTCTACAAAAAATACCAAAGGTCGGTATTACGCCATCGCGACCGTTTTAAATTGCGAGTTTTAGGTGAGCCGCGAGCGGCTAAACGAGTTGGCGATCATTAGCGCCGAATTTCTCAACGATATTAAGGAGATGAGCGTTTGCAATTCGACTATGTCGACCCACACGAAGGTCGGCTTTAATATCGGAAAGTCTCACTATATCCGAAGTAAGAAGATGGTCTCCAGATCTAAACAGTAAGTGACCTTTAAAGTGACCCCCCAGTGCCCTTATGCTGTTTGTAGAACTGCCGACGCGACCTCGCTTAATTTTTACGAAGTTATCATACCGCAGGTGGACGTTTCGTTAAACCACTTCACGGCGGTGCAAGATCAAAGTGATTTGGTGAATCAGCAAGTGACCTTTCAAAGTTTAAACGCACTGGCGAACAAGCTGAACGATAGCTCAAATCCGGAATTAAACGAGTTGGCCGTTATTATAAATAATTCGAGTGTTTCTTATGGCTGTGTACTTTGCGATAAATGTTTTGCCGGGCCCTCAGCGTATACCTCTGTTGTAAATCATTTTAGGAAGACGCACAAGTCGGAACAGATGGTTTTGTGTTATACGTGCGGCGGGCAGTTTTATGTAGAAGATTTGACTGATAAACGATGGACGCACGATTGTGTGCCTAAATAATGTTTTTATCCAGTACTTACCATTTTTGTATTATTTATGTTACAGTTCATTATTTTTAGGAAAATTGTTATTTTGTATGATTGTGGTGTACATATCATTTGTTTTGTAAAACTTATTTTTGTATTAATCAATACCTGTAAGAATGCTGTATTTTTTGTGTTCCTCCACACTGTAGCCAGTTTCATTGGTTATCAGGGTATGATGATTAGTTACCCCCTCACCAAATTTTAGTTGTATTTGTGCCCCAGCTCCTTCATAACTTTTGATGTTGTATAACAGTTAACTAGAAGTTAGGAACTGTTGTGTTGTTGGATTCTGTTGCTTCTTGTTAACAAATTCAAACTACACGGTTTTCATATCATTTTTAATAATCATAATCATTATTAATCCAATATATCCAGTTTTGTATGTGGGACAAGTCGGACATCATGTTACAATAAATTTTCATGTAAGAATAGACTTGAAAATAACAAACATAACAGGAAAATTTATTAAGCAACACAATAGAAATTAATACCTAATTTGCTAAAAACTGCTTCGTAAGTAGTGTCATCAAATCGCTATTATAGCTGGGGGGGGGGGGGTATTCTATACCTCTCAGAACCAACTTCCCCAAAACGATTAGCCTTCACAACTCTCATGCACAAATATTGTAATAAATTTACCATCAAACTTTAGGCTTTAATCAAATAAAAAATATGACATTAATTAATCAAAGCTGTCTATATAATATAAAGTGAACTATTTAATATTAGCACATTCTCCCCTGCCCCTCGTTATTTTGAAACGTAGTCTTGTAGATACAACGGTAATTTTCTTTCTCGTTCCGATCTTCTTTGTTCTTCTGTTAATACTGTGTTGGGGAAGGAATTGGATTCGATGACAGGAACCTCTGATACCTACATAAGGAACAGCCTTAGACCATATAGTACATGGACTGCTAATTGTAACTAAAATATGGTCAAGGACATCGCCTGGGTATGTGAGTTTCAGGGTAAACGAGTCTGTCCGAAGTTGTCCGATGAGACACGATTTGAGATTGTCAACCTATAAATTAACAAACGTCAATTAATTAATCGCCTAGATATCCCAAAAAAAGCAAACTTATTCTTATTTGTGGACGTATAGCAAATAATGAAGAGCATTTAAAGCTTCCCGTACTACGCGGGTACTATAAAGCTGCTCTTTAAGCGATCCTAGTGGTGTTTACACGACTTTAGTTTACCCTGAGATTCACATACCCACGACTACAGTGCCCTCTATCCGTGACCATCCATTTTGTATTGAAAGCATAGGGCGAATAGCAGTCCATGTACTATATGGTCTAAGGGAACAGCTGGATCAGATTCAAAACTGTGATCTTGACCTGTAGATTCTTCGCGACCAAAAATTGAACTGTACGTCCCCTGTTGGAGCCAAATGTTTTAAAGAAACCGTAACTTCCTTCCCATTTGCCCGTCGGATTAAGGATATTCTGGATTTGCCTCAATCAGATCCACTTCTTCTACCAATGGACTGTACTTGGAAGTTCGTACATGACTCTTCATTAGTACCTTTCCTGGATTTGCTAACCAAGAAGGTATATAGCTATTCCATTTGTCGAACGACGTGCATGGAAGAACATCCTTTCGTGAGGAGTGCAATTTATAGATGTAGGTACATAAAAGGGAACGTATGGCATGTAATGATTCTGGAAAAACTTCTTCCCATCGCGAAGTCTCTAATCCCTTATTCTTCATAGCCAAAGACATGGTTTTCCATAAAATTCCATTATACCGTTCGACAAGTCCATTGCCCTGAGGGTTATATGGAGTAGATGAACTCGTAGCGATGCCTTATGTGTATGGAGATAGTTAATGAGATCTTTTGAGAGAAATGATGTTCCTCTGTCAGAATGAATATATGCAGGAGTCCCGAATATGGAGAAAAGATTGTAAAGGTTTGTTTTAATCGTAGCAGAAGTCATATCCCGACAGGGGTAGGCAAAAGGAAATCTTGTATATATTCGTCAACAATAGTCAAAATATACGTATTCTTAGTGTTAGAAGGGACTGGTCCTTTAAAATCTATATTGAGCCTTTCGAATGATAGGTTTCAATTCTGCGCAAACGGGACATGCAGAAGTGATTTGTTTAATTTCTTCTAAAGAAAAAGGTAGATTCTTTGAATTGATCCAGTGATACATTCTGGTAACTCCTGGATGACACAGAGATTTGTGTAAATTATACAATTCATCGTGATTTGTGGCTCCACAAATCCTCGATAACGCGTCAGCTACTTTGTTGAGAGAACCAGGACGATATGAGATATCAAAGCTATAACAAGACATCTCTAGTCTCCATCGCTGAATTTGATCGTTTTTGATTTTACTTGTATGTTGCAAATTGAACATAAACGACAATGCTTCCTGATCAGTAATAAGTTTGAAATGTCGATTGCACAAAAAATGTCTCCACTTTCTAATACTCTCAATAATAGCAGTAGCTTCTTTTTCTATTGCAGGGTACTTCTTTTCACTTTCGGTAAGAGTTCTAGTAAAGAAAGCAACAGGACGTCCGTTTTGTGTGAGAGCTGCAGAGATAGCAACATCTGAAGCATCTGTTTCGACAACTAGAGGAAATTTCGGGTCCACACATACGAGTAAAGAGTTGGCAATGTCTCTCTAGTTTTGAAAAAGCTGATGTGGCTTCTTTTGATAATGGAAACGATTTGCTATTCATCAGGGGACGAATCTTTTCAGAGAATCGTGGAATCCATTTCGAGTAATAAGCAAACATACCGACTCTCTGTAAAGATCCTTTATCACTAGGCGGAGAAATTTCCAGCAAAGGCTTCAAACGATCGGGGTCCGGTTTGATCGAACCTTCACTTATAAGATGTCCTAACAGTTTAATGGAAGTAGTAGAAAATTTACTCTTCTTCTCGTTTAATTTGATATTGTATTTCTTTGCTACTTCAAGGAATTTATTAAGATTTTCGTCATGTTCAACTTTATTGCGTCCGCCAATTGTAATGTCGTCAATGTAACAATGAACGCCGCAAAGTTTTTCAGTGTCGACTATTTTATCATTAAATTTTTGGAAAGCCGGTACCCCGTTAGTGACACCAAAAGGAAGTCTTGTAAATTGATACAGTCTCCCGCAAGCTTCGAATGCCGTAAACGGTCGTTCTTCAGCACAAATTGGAACTTGATGGTAGGCCGACTCAAGGTCTATTGTGCTAAAATGACTATATTTGGCTACTTCCGAGATCACCTCCTCCACACATGGTGCTGGGTAAGCATCTAATTCGGTGAATTTGTTTATAGTATTTGAATAATCTATGACCATGCGTTTTTTATGATTAGCATTTTTAGTAACTATTACTTGGGCCCTCCATGGAGAGGAACTCTCCTCAATTATTCCAGCTTGAAGGAGCTTGGTTACTTCTTCCCTGATGAATTCATTATCTTCTGCTGAATGTCGTCGTGACTTTGTTGCAATAGGTTTCACATTAGGGGAGAGGTTTGAAAAAATTCGAATTGGTTCTATATTTACATGAGGACACTGTAGCGCTAGATATAGAAAGGGGCGGGTTGGGACCACCAAAATTAACATCAAGTCGCGAATGCGATTTTAAGATATCATGGCCCACAATAATATCAGCACATAAGTTTGGTAAGACTAATAATTTGGTGTTTATATACATGTGATCTAATATTTTCAGATCTATTTTAACACATCCTCTTACACAAGATGACAATGAGGTAGATGCCATGGATACTGTAATTGTACCTTCAGGGAAAATTTCAAACCCATTAATAATTGTAAATTTCTCATTGATATAACTGTTGGAGCTACCAGTGTCAATTAGGCATTGTGCTATTTTTCCATTAATGTTTGCTACTATAGTAGCTTTAGATAGAGTTGATAAGGAACTAGCCCCAACAATACTTGCAATGAATGTTTCTTCCAAAGATGATTTGGTTTCAATTGAATCATTAAGAGCTGCAGAAGTTTTAACAGTTCTATTAGTCTTCTTGGAAAGGCATACTTTTGGATAATGTCCAACTTTAGTACAGTTCGTACAGATAAAATCACGAGCTGGGCAAACAGAGCGCGGGTGACGAGATCCTCCACAAAAGTAACATTTGTAAGTAGTTCCAGAACGTGTTGAATAACATTGGTTATTAGATATTCCATCAGAATTTGATGTACATGTGTACGTTTCTGAATTTTTAATGGCTCTTTCAATTGATCGAGCCTTTTCTTCTGCTTCATCTAGTTGAAGGGACTTGTTCTCTAAAAGTCTCTGTCGTATATTAGATGAAAATAAACCTGCAATAAAGGCATCTCGAACGTAATTTTGTTTGTTTTGTTCAGCAGACACGGCCTTAAAAGGGCACGCCTTGGCTAATGACTTGAGAGCAGTCAAATACTGATCAATTGATTCTGTTGAGAGTTGTTTTCGAGTTGCAAGTTGATGTCTAGCATAAATCAAGTTTTTCGGTTTCACATAAAGAGCTTTAAGAATATCTACAGCGGCTTTGTATGTTTTTACAATCGTTAATGTATTCAAATACGTTAGAAGATAAAAAATTTGACAGTACCTGCAACTGATCTTCGTCTTTCACTACATATTCGGATTTTTCAGTGAAGTTTTCGAATAGTCGAATCCAATGAAGCCATTCTTGTTGAGCCGTAGGACTATCAGGGTTTGAAGAAAACTTGTCTGGTTTAAAGAGCTTTTCCATTTTATTTTATTTGATTAAATTGTAATAAATTTACCATCAAACTTTAGGCTTTAATCAAATAAAAAATATGACATTAATTAATCAAAGCTGTCTATATAATATAAAGTGAACTATTTAATATTAGCACAAATATCTTCCAAAAAAGAAAAAGTTGACCACAATACTCATTTTCTTAAAGATGTTGGGGCAGTAGAGCTGTTGTGTATTCAGTAGTTGAATATAGATACATCAGTAAACTGTTGTTAGAGTTGCCAAACTAACATGAATTTTCCTTAGTTTTAAAGGTAATAAATCACTTACAATAAAGCGGGTATTTAATATTGGCGACGAGGATCAAACACCAATGGCTTCCTTAGGCTTGGGAAGTATTGAACAATTTAATGGACTGTGTATCGGTCAATTTTTATTTCGAAGCAAA